GCTTTAACCCACGGAGCCACCCAGGTGCCCCTCACAGCAGCATTATTCTTAAGGGCCAAAAGGAAGACACAGCCCAAGTGTTGATCAGCAAATCCACAAGTAAGCAAAACGTGGACATACAGTGGAATCCTATCGGGCCACAAAAAGGAATGACGTGCTCACTCACACCAGAATACAACGAGCCCCAAAATCATGATGCTCAGTCAAGGGAGCCGGCCAGACACAAAGAACACTGCATGATTCCGCTTACACGAAGTATCTAGAACAGGCAGGTCCGAGGAGAGAGATATGTATGTACTCATATGTCTTTGCAAGAAGCCACGAGCTCCGAGAACCGCACCGCGGCTCGCCTGGAGGTCCTCTAGGCCTCCTGCACAGAGCTAGGGACCTTCGTAAGCTCGATTTTGTCCAGAAAATTTCTGGTGTCTTCTAGTTCTCAGAGAGAGAAAGTTACTCATATAGATTTTGAACATTTTTTTTTTTAGCGTATTCCTGGTGTCATTTATTTTGCATGGTAAAAGGGATAGTTTCTCCCACTGTATTTTCTGAGGAGCTGCCACTTTGTATATAGGAATATCACTGATTTTTTTTTTTTAATATCCATCTATCGTATGGTCATTTTCCAGTGGTTGTCTTGGGTTTCCAGGTATGGCTCATGCCATGCCCAAAAGTTTTAGGTGAGTCCCTTCTTCCAGCCCTTCCCAAGCTATGTGCAGTGAAGGACCAGGCTCTGGGCCTCTTCCCAGTGCGTTTTGTAAGACAGATGACAAATCTGTGGGAGCCACTCTCGGATGTCATTAAAATGTCAGATTCCTAAAGAAGTTTCATCATGTGTATTTCCAGTGTCTGTCCTTTCTGGTCATAGACCGGTAAGCAGTTGGCAGACCAGGAGAGATCCAGAACCTCACTCCGCGTCTCGTTGCTTTAGCCCTGTTCTCTGATGATTTGAGATGCTAGGATTTGCGCTCTGTGCCCAGGTACCAAAATCTTTTCCCGATGGTGAGGTCCTCAGCAGCGATTAAGCCGAGTACAGGAACCTGGGTCGGTCAGTTCCATAGTCCTGATGTGTGTGTAGTAGACTTATGTCTAAAACTGGGGGGAAAAAAGGAGGAAGAAAGGACAATATTCCAGGGATAGATATAAGAAATAGTGATACTGAAAGATAAATATAGATACAGATATTAATACAGATTTTCTCCAGATTTGGAGGATTGGGAAGGAGCAGGAGGAAGCTGGGCCAAACACTAGGGTTTTAAAATTCTGAACAAATTACAATTGGGTGGGAGAGAAAAGCTAAGTGTTTAAAAATAGGTCCTGCACTGAAGACGTCTCACCTCACTGTTGCTTGGTGGGACGAGGCAGGAAGAGCCTAATCGCTCCCACTGCAGGAGAGCCACGCCCACGGCTGGGATCCCATGACTACACGTTTAAGAGAGGAGGTGTGATGTAAACTCATGTTTGTTTGTTTGTTTAAGATTTTATTTATTTATTTGACAGAGGTCACAAGTAAGCAGAGAGGCAGGCAGAGAGAGAGGAAGGGAAGCAGGCTCCCCGCTGAGCAGAGAGCCCAATGCGAGGCTCGATCCTAGGACCCTGGGATCATGACCTGAGCCGAAGGCTTTAACCCACTGAGCCATCCAAGTGCCCCAAACACACGTTTTAATAAGACTTTCTCGCCAGGTACCAGTGGGACCCGACAGCTGACCAAAGCCCGGCCCGTACCACCTCTTTAACCCATAGCAAGCTTGTGCGGACCCGGCGTGGAATCTAGCGATTCCTTCCACAGGATCTACCGAGCGCTTCTGGTGCGTCAGGCCGGCCTGATGCTGCCGACACACCCACGGGAGCAGGGCGGCTCTCAGAAACAGGCGAGGCCCAGTAAACCACCCTCCAAGGCTCTGGAGGCAGTGAGACGGGGTCACGAAACAGAAGGCTGTGTGCTGCTTTAGGAGGGAACCGCTCTCTGAGGAGACATCTCAGCCAAACGAGGTCCGGCAGACTCAGACCCTGAAGCCCCCATCTGTGTGGCCGGAGCAGAGGCCCTGGGATGGATGCGAGAGAGAGCCGAGCTCTAGGCCCCTCTCTGCTCTGCAACCCTGGCCCCGTCATTTCACTTTAGACATCCTTTTCTCCACCTGTAGAAAGAGCTAAGATCACCTGTAGTGATTTTAAAAAAAATGGCTCCGAAAATCGTGGATGTTCCTCCCCCCAAGAAGTGGATCCGTGTCCCCTGCCCTTGAATCTGGACAGATTTCGGGTTGCTCTACCCAACAAAGTACGACAGAAGTGAGGCTATGTGACTTTGGGGTTACATCCTAAAAGGCCATATGGTTTCTGCCTGGTTCACTCGGGGGCCTCTGCACACGAGAAGTCCAGCTACCCTGAGGCCACCGAGCTGAAGGAGCCACAGGTGGGCACGCCCAAGGCAGCCCTCCCTGAGCTCCCAGCTCCCAGCCACACCAACCAGCCATGGGGGCAGCCAGCCCCCTCCAGATGCCCGCACTTCCACCCACACCCGACGGCAACCGCGTGAGACCTCCATGGAGAACTGCGTATCTGAGTCCTAAATGAACTCCTGACCTACCAGACCATGGGCCAACAAAGCGATCGCTTTACACTAGCAAGTTTGAGGGCACTTCCCATAGTTATAATAACTGGAGCCCTAAGTCTCTGCCTTCGTCTCTTAAACTCCTCCCTCCCTCACAAGCTCCTACCGCCTGGTCTCTTCCTGCTCCTCAAACACTCCAAAAACGGTTCAGGCCTCAGGGCTATTGCACTAGCTGTCCTCTATCTCCAGAAAAATCCTCCTTTCCACTTCTCCCCCGCCTCTTGCATGGAAATCTCCCTGTGATTCAGGCCTCGGTTCCAGCCGCCAGCACTCAGAGCACCCCAACTAGCTTCAAACCCCGGTCCCCAGCCACCTTATGGTTTTCCCAGCACTTCTGCCAGCTGACATTTTGCTGTTGGTGTTTATTGACTATGCCCTCTGCCAGAATAAAAAGTCGAGGAGAGTCTTTTCCTGTTTGGATCCCCTGTGCATCCCCGGTCTTGCACGTCTAGCAGAAAATAAGCACAGGTCTGTGTCTGTTGAATGAGTCCGCAAGAAGGAAACAGCTGTGTAGAGAGGGAAAAGCATGTCTATCAGAACACCGAGGAGCAGTGACGATGGTGTGTTCTAGGTTAGAAAGGCGGCTAGCTGGGGCTGGAGGGGTTCAGGATGATGTGAGCAGGGACTGGAGAGGTGGAGCCTTTCAGAACCTAGAAAGGATATCCTTGGGCAGAACTCGGTGTCATGCTGAGTGGGGAGGATGTGGTAAAACATACACCACATACGATTTGCCATTTTAGCCATTCTTCTGTTCAGGGTTCAGGGGTGTGAAGCAGCTGCTACCACCATCCGTTGACTCTGTCCCCATCAAAAGAATTTTCATCCCCTGGGCACTTCTATTTTTCTAGATCTCTCCTCTTAGTGGACTCCTACATTAGTCGTCCTTCCGTCTCTGGCTTCTGTCAGTCAGTCTAATGTCCCCTAGGTTCACCTATCCTTGGGTCAGAATTGCCCTCCTTTTTTATTGTGATGAAATACACCTAACACAAAAGTTCCTTCCATGCCCTTTAAACCTAAGCAGCATTCCACTTAGTCTAAACACCACATTTTGTTCATGCATTTCATAGGAGGCGGGGGGGGGGGGGGGGGGCAGCTGCTGTGTTTAAAGGCTCTCTGGGGCCTCCACGTGGGCCAGGGAGGACATCGGGTCAAGTCCAGAGCTCACATGCCCGGCCAGCCACCTGAGGTCCCCTTTACAGGCGAAACGCGGGCTCAGGGCACCCAGGCGGCCTGCTGCGGGGTGTAGCCACGGAAGGACCCCCGCAGGGCCTGGAAAGGCTTCAGCCGCTGTCCCCAGCTCTTCCCGGCCGCCGCCCTCCCCCTCCCGGACACACGTCCCAGCCCGGTGCGGAGGCGTGCCCCCTCACCAGTGCGCTTGCGCAGAAAGAGCCACGCAGAGGGCACAAGGCGCATGCGCATGAGGCTCCGCTCCCCGGGAGGTAATCCGCGATCCGGGGTTTAGGCCCCGCCGGGAGCTCTGTTTATAAACACACCGCGCGGCCACCGGCCAGGGGTAACCCTAAAGGTGGTGGGGTCGAAGGCCAGAGGTCAGCAGGGGTGCCAGCGGGGAGACCGATTCTTTCGCCTTCTCTGGCTTGCTGGTTGCGCGGGGTGGCGGGTCGTGTCGCCCTACCAGGGTCCCGGGCTGCCGGGTGCGCCACGTGGTGCGCACGTGGTCAGGTCCCAGAGCTGCGCCTCCCTTCCCCCCGCGGCGCCGGCGGCCAGCGGCGCCCTCAGGTGGCGGCCCCGTGCCCTGCACTGCACGTCGCGCCTGCGCACAACGCGTCACGACGCGCCTTCCGGTCTGCGTGCGAGCGGGGCGTGGGTCAGTTACGTCCTCGCGACAGCTGCGCGTCCGCCCATCCCGGGGTCCCGGGCGGGGGCGGTGCGACCCGCCCAAGGTCGCGCCCGCGGCGCTGGCGCCGGGCAGGCCCTGGGATCCCGCGGCAGGCGGGGCGGGGCCTCCGGCGTCCACGTGGACCCGGAGGCGGTGCTCTGGGCTCGCGCCAGCAGCCCGAGTCCCGGTTGCTGTGCGGCGGCCGCGGGGGCGCTCCCTGGTGCCCCGTGCGAGGTGAATGCGAGCCGGGCGGCGCTGGCGGGTGGCCGAGAGAGTGGAGCAGTGACGTGTCCAGCTTCTCCCGTCAGCTGCGGGGCGCACGCTGAGCACGGGGCTGTGCGGCCCACTAGTAGGGCTGTTCTGCCCGCCTTTGATTTTATACCTCATTGATGCCAGAAAGATAGCAGGAGGCTGCTGGCTTGAGAAAGCCGACTCCCCACCCCACCCCCCGACTTTTTTTTTTTTCTTCTTCTTTTTTGTCATTTTCTCGGAAAGGCTCACAATTGCTTTGCCACTGCCGGTTGCTCTGTCAAAGTCAGTATTCCGCTCAAGTTTGCATGCTTCGACAACATTTAAAATGCCTGTGTGCCAGGCGCTGCGCTGGGCTCTGAGGGACCTGGGTCACACGTGGGAAAGAGGCGACTCTAAACCTGGCCGAGTTACCCGGGGAAGCCAGAAAGTGCTCACACTGAAGTTCAGGCCATGGAACTGTAGGCGTGCCTATGTCGCTGATACCAAGCAAGGGCAGAGCCCCTCTACACGATAAACAGCAGTCTCAGCTTCTAAATCTCTTAGAGCCCATTGATGCTCGGAGAACGCTTTTGCTTGCTTTCGCTGGACTCTTGTACCCTGGCCAACCCCTAGTTGAAATTCTCCCCAGATATGGCAGATTGAGTTGCCTCTCAACCTACTATTTTCCAAAAAAACTTTTCAGTCAATGCAATCCGGGGTATGAACACGGCTGATGTTTCGTTAATAAGTAAGACAGAAAGGAAGCCAAAGAGATGTCGGAATTTCATCAGTGCTGTGAGCAACTGCTTTGCCAAATTCGATGGTGGCTTCCAAATACAGTTTTTCCTCAACGTTTTGTGCTGTTTACTAGATAAGGGCTGCAGACTTGACACAAAGTTAAGTTTAAATACATTGTTAATTTTCTTTATTACTTGGAAGTCTAGACTAGTGGTTGGGTCAGATGGCAAATATTTTAGACTCTGCCAGACACATGTAATCTGCCACATAGTCTTTGTTTTGTCTACCACCCTTCTCAACCTCCAAGCTCTGAACTATAAAATTTCTAGATCCCGGGAATATAAATATTCCTCCGATGGCCGATTTCAAGCGACCGACATGGAGTGTCTGAGGGCAGGGTTGAGAATGCTACTTCCAGCATATGGATCCGATAGATGTAGATAATCTGGAGAGCATAGGTCATGGTAGAATAATTGGGAAGTAATGGATTTTGAAACCTTGTTGTCAATAGCACCGATTTCACTGTAAACTTACATAATTTAACTTTTGATAGTACTTGTTCAACAGCAAGCCCACAGAATGCCTGAAGATTTAACATTTGGTTCTCGTGAGCCAGTTCCGGCTCGGCAATGGTCTTACCCCTAAGTGGAGACAGGAGTGGGTAAGTTAGGCTTCCAGGTTGGTGGTCAATGTTCCGTTTCTTCACCTCGGTTCCACTTAGGCACACCCCAAGGGGACCCCCAGTGAGTCAACTCCCTGTATCATCCCCTCTGTGCAAGTGTGGGCTGGACCCGTCATGTGCTTCTGACCAACAGAATTTGGTGAAAGGGGCAGGATGTCCCTCCTTTGACGATGTCATGTCATTTGTGAAGGATGATGGATGTCACGCCATCATGCTTGTTTTCCCAGGATGACTGGAGACAGACTTTCTAGCAGGCCTTGCAGGAGCAAACAGCCAAGTGAGAAGGCCCCGGAGAGGATCACGTGGCCGGGGACTGTGGGCAGCCTCCAGAACCTGAGGGTGGCCTGCCGGCACCAGGAAGAAGCTGGGGCCCTCGGTCATGCAGTCACGAGGATACGCATCTCCCAGTGACCTGAATGAGCTTGAAAGAGTCACATCTCCAGACAAGAGCAAAGGTCAGCCTGTCCCTGAATCATAGGCCCTGGGAGACCCTGAGCTGGACCCAGCTACAGCCAAGCCCCAGCTTCTGCCCCACGGAAGTGGAGGTAAGTGCATTTTTTAAGTTCCTAAATTTGTGGTCGTCTGTTATACTGAAGCAGAAAGTGAACACGTCTTTATTTGCAAGATGTATGCACCTGTGTGTGTGTGTGTGTGTGTGTGTGTGTACATGCATTACATTCCTCAATTTTAGAAGGTTGGGGAGATGGGGCGCCTGGGTGGCTCAGTGGGTTGAGCCGCTGCCTTCGGCTCAGGTCATGATCTCAGGGTCCTGGGATCGAGTCCCGCATCGGGCTCTCTGCTCAGCGGGAAGCCTGCTTCCTCCTCTCTCTCTCTCTCTGCCTGCCTCTCCGTCTGCTTGTGATCTCTCTCTGTCAAATAAATAAATAAAATCTTTAAAAAAATAAAATAAAATAAAAAAATAAAAGGTTGGGGAGAGGAAACGTACACAGTACACAATACAGAGAGCAGGAAAGAACTGTACCCATGTGCTGGCCAGAATGCTCTTAGACAGTGTGACTGTGAGGAAACTCACAGAGGGTTTCCATTTGAAGTTTTTTCTTTCTCCTGATGACTCTCTGTCCTGACTGCATGGCCTGTCCACACTGTGAGGTGGGTGTGAGGTCGGGATCAAGCCCCGTTTACACCTCGGTGCCAGAGCTCCCTGCCTGTGTGTCTCAGCACGCCTCTATGTGCTCACCTTTAACGTGGAGATGACCAGAGTAACTGCTCAGGGCACCACTGGACAGGACTCGGTGGGACAGATGCTGTCAGGGGACCGCGTGGTGTGGCCTTTGTCCCTTGTAGCCCTCGTGTTGTGGAGCCGGTGGGGGGGGGCTCCCCCAGCTCTGCGCCCAGCTGGGTCTGTGCTGCGCATGGTGAGTGATTCAGGAATCTAAGTCGGTTACTGTCTGCCATTCTCACGGCCATCAGGGAGAGGTCAGGCCTCCGTTTGATAGGAGTTTCCAGAAAAGTATTCTTTCCTTCTGAGATGCTGCTGTGAGAAGAGAGGCCATGGGAGGGGGCGAGCTCTGTGGCCATAGCCTTCCAGGCTGCCACAGAAAGAGAGCAGAGCTGGCCTCACCGTCGACTGAGGGAGCTGGGGCCGTGAGGTCCAGCCAGCCCCAAATTCTACCTACATCCAGAGCCCCTTCGTGTGGACTGACACAGTTTGGCATTGTTGAGACCATCTCGAGTTGAGTTTTCTGGCTCCTGACAGCCGAGTTTGCGTCCTTGTTAGGTCATCACGTGAAACTGTACCCTGGGGAGGACAGGGTGGGGGGACATGAGGGACAGCGGACGGCGGATGTTGGATTCTGTGTCCACAGCTCCCCCTGGAGTTGGGTGTGTTGGGCATGGCACGCTGGCCACCAGGTCATCGTGGCTAAAGCCCTGGGAGGCTTTCTGTAGCCTGGCTGCCGTCTACTGGCACCTTGAGCTTGGACTCCCGGCCTCCAGACTGGGAGAAGTCAGCGTCTGTTGTTTGTAAGTGGACCCAAGCGGTTTGTTGCCACAGGCTGAGCAGACTAACACACTCTCCACTTCAAGCAGTATGTGCCATTGCCTCTGAAGTCTTTTTTTTTTTTTTTAAGATTTTATATATTTACTTGAGAGAGAGAGAGAAGGAGCAAGGGGGAGGAGCAGAGAGAGAGGGAGAAGCAGACTCCCCTGCTGAGCAGAGAGCCCAGGGGGGGGGGGGGGGGGCTCGATCCCAGGACCCTGAGATCATGACCTGAGCCGAAGGCAGACGCTTCACCCACTGAGCCACTCAGGCGCCCCTACCTCTGAAGTCTTGTCGCGAAGCACTTCCACACTTGGGCGAAATCGCCGGTGGCCATGTTAGCGCCGGGCCTCCCACCGAGTCAGAGCCGCCAATGCTGAGCGCCTGGCTTTGGAATCTGCTCCGGAGGCTGCCGTCCACCCTGCCTGGCACCCAGCAGCTCTTCAATGGAGAGACGGGGTCTGTGCTCTGAGGAAGGGAAACGTCCCCATTGCCCCTCACTCAGCTGTGTCTAGAACAACCGGCTGATGCCCGCGCTCAGACTCAGGCACCCAAGCAATGTCAAGCTGGTGTGGGACCTGCTGGGGCCACGGTTGCCGGGCCTGGGCCCCTGGCCGTTGTTTTGCCTCCTGCTTCAATTCCCCTCTGCCTTGCCCCCTCCCTTCTACTTCCTAAGCACTCCCTAGACTCTGCTGTGGTCATAGGAGCCTGTCTTCTACTCCCGGCACTGAGGCCTGGAGGCCCAGCCAACTTGGCGCCTCCACGGAGGGGCCGTCTCGCAACCCCTTCCCCAGGACCACACGTCACCAGTGCCCAGCCCCCCTCCCCCCATGCCTTTGCTCTTCTCTTGCCTGCGGGATCTCACAAAAGAGAACAGAGTCTCTGGGCCCCTGGCCGCCGAGCGCTTTGTGAGGCCAGGCCTCCCCACTTTGCCGGCCAGACTCCAGGGCCCACCCCGGAGGAGAAAGCTCCTGCGAATCGCACTGCCCAGGATGCAGGCAGATGAATTTTTACAGACCAGCATGGGTCTGAGGTTGGCCCGACAGGGGTGAAACCAAACGGCCGAGGACCGGACCGGACTCCCAGCTGGCAGCCCTATCTCGGCTTTATTGCCTGTTTTCTGCCAAACAAAGGCCCTGCCCGCCCTGGGAGCTCACGCTGCTGCTCTATTGAAATCTCGAGGTGGTTCCCTGTTAATCACTCCCTTTGGTCCCTCCGAGGCCAAAAAGAGTCAAACAAAACCTCTTTGCTAAGCAGGAAGAGCTCTGCAGAGACCTGAGCAGAAAGACCCCCCCCCCCCCCCCCTCTCCAGTACGACACCAACAAGATGCTGGGGCTCCCAGACTCACACAAACAACCCTTGCTTCCTGGCAGCTGGAGGGGTATTTGGAATGTGACCAGGTCCCCCACATGCTCCAGAAGGCTCCACACAGGAGGCAGGGCCCCTGAGCGAGCAGTCTCCATGCATGCAGCCCCCTCTTTCTTTTAAAAATCAAAAAACAACCAATTAAATTATTTTTTTTTTAAGTAGACACATACTAGGAAGGTGGGAGGAGGAAAAAAAATTCCATCTCTCTCCCTCCCTTCACATAACCTTGACCCTCAACTCCCAAGCTTGTCTTTCATTCTGATGTTGCCATTCTGCCATTAACCAGTAACTAATAAGGCATTATTCATTATTCTATAAATATGAAGTTTGGCTTCTTTTCTTAAACAGACACCCCAAGGCCAAACAGCAAGCCGTCACTGACCGAGACAAGTCTTCATTTCCCAGGGAGCAGGCCTGGTATCTGTGGGCCAGCGTTCGGATTCTCCTGTCGCAGAGAGAAATGGCTTTTTCGTTCAGATGCTGTGGCCCCTATCAGGCATGAGGACCAACAGTCCCAAGATTTTTACGCCTCTGAACGGAAGCACGTTCTTTTTCATAAACATTATTTTAAAAGGGGAAAAAAAATTGGCTCGAAGAATACTGACGTGCCATCCGTTCGCGTGAGGACGGAAGACCATCCTTTTAAAACCAGTGTATTGTATTAGCTTGGAAAATCAGTTCGATAAAGAGACAACAAATTCACAGGAAAGGCATCATCCTTCACCCGGCAATACAGGGAACACACTTCGAAGTGTAGAATTTGGCCCGACTCGGATACAGCGGTCGTCTTGTGAGTCTAAACCAGGTTTGGTACAGAGGACAGGAACGATGCAGCGGGGGCGTGGTGGGGGGCTAGCATTGTCACGCTGGGTGATCAGTGGGGACGCTTCAGCTCAGGAGGGCAGACGCTCGCCTCACAAAAATAATAAACCCGAGAAACAGATCACGTGGCTTGATTTGTGATCGCCCAGGCCTCCTTACTCCTTAAAGCTTACCAGAATTAAATGAGTGGACCGTATCCGTGTTCGGGGTGTGGATAGACCAGCCTCATGGGCAAATCAGGGGGAGTCTTACTAGGGGAGTTGGAAAGTTCTTCTGCAGCCTCGCTGTTGTGAGGTTGTTGTTTTTTGTGTTTTTTTTTTTTTTAATTAGAAAAATGACACTCATAATAGGAGAGATGATTATGGTAATGGCTCTCCAGTGCTGCTTAAGGATCCATCAGACCAGTTAAGGGAGGAAATTTAAGGTGCAGCAGGGGGGTAGCTCACTGTTATTCTAGGAAGGGCTCGGGCACTTGATGGCTCATCTTTTTGAAAAATGCCACTAATAATTAGAGAGTTTGATGTTCCGCTTTATGGTTTGTAGCACAAATCAAGGCTCCGGGATCCCCCCTTGCCCCCCACCATACACACAAATCAGACACGTTCCTCCCACCCCTTCCTCCTTGATACAGGCTTTCTCCCCACCTCCCCCCTGCCCCGCCCCCCAGCTGAAGAAGAGACCAGCAGGCAGCCCAGCCTCTGACCTACCTGCACCAGGCAGCCCGTGACGACAGTGAGTAATGTGAACGCTTAGGTTCTCCGCTCCCCGATTCCCCCCCACCCGGTGATAGTCCTTCCCGAGCACAGACTTATGCTGTGCTGTTCTGCCAAAAGTCACTGATCGATGCGTGCGCTCTGCGGTTAAAATGACGTCAACTAAGAACTTTTAATAACATGGGGGAAATACCACGTACAGGGAAGTGACTCGAAACAGGTAAGCCAAGAGACAGAACATGCGGGGGTGCGCACAGGGCTGGGGGGGGCGGCACGTGCCCGTGCGCGCTCGGGGAAAAGCACTCACCTGTTGGAAAGTGGTCAGTGCTGAGATGAGGCATGCGACTCATTTCTTTTTTTGTAAATACTTCGTGATTTTCTCCAACGAACCTGCGTTGCATTTCTAAGCAGGAGAAGTGTCCTTTCTTACCATGAAATAGAACAGACACGGGAAAGGCTCTCCGGTATTCCTACCCACCCAGCCCCCTCTATGCCCCCTTTCTCTATGATTGATTTCTGTGGCCCGTTCAGACCCCCTTTATTCCATTCCCGCCGTGCTGGCTTGTTGCTTGGTAACAATCATTTTTACTGATTGCCGGCTTCTCGTCTGTGCTCGTTAGCGAGGCTGCATTGCAGCGCGATGTGCTGCAAAAGGGTCTTCTGTCCAGGGCAGTCAACAAGACCATCTCATCTCCTCAGTTATCACACCTTCCACCTTATGAGGCGTGAGGGCCGCTGCCAGCTTCCCAAAACGTTGCATTTCGTTAACGTCCCGCCAGAGTAGCCGCTTGCAGGTTCCAGGGCCCTAGTTTTCACTTCCACACCCAGGCGTGAAATCTCTCCTCTTAAGCTGCCCCCGACGGGGCTGCTGGTTCTCAGCATGTGTCCTCTGCCCTTCGTGGCAGGTGCATTCTGGCTGCCTCCCTAGCCGCCCCTTCCCTACCGCTCCTTTTCCTGCCCAGAGAACTCCACTTTTGTCCGGATACCCACCCCCCATCCACTGCAGGAGCAGTGGGGCCCGGCTTGCAAGAGAGCCATCACGACTGAGCTAAGAAAAGCATGGTGGTGGGTCCCGCAGCCCTTGCCGGACGTAGTTTGGGCACAGGTACAGAGGGTAATTTTGGCCAAAAAGACATGACGGGAGGTGGGCTGGAGAGGGAGAAAAGTGTCTCTGTTCCTAAAAAGGGATGCATGAAGCACACCTGGTCTCCAGATCCTGGTTTGGGAGGACAGGGGGCCTAAGGCCCCTGGAGCCACCTCAGAAGCCCCAGAGTCAGTACATCAAGGCTGTAAGAGCCACATGGCGGAGAGAAACTGAGTGCCCGGTGGTGCCACAGAGTCAGCAAATCCACACGCCCAAGGCCCAGCCTTTCTCCTAAGTCCTTACATGTGAGGCCGTAAGTCCCCTTTGTTTCAGAGCCACATGGGGTCAGGTTTTCTGTTCTTCACAGTTAAAGCCTTCTAACCAAGCCAGTGCTGAAGTTAGACATGTGTGCATGATGTAGACCCTCGGTCACCCTCACGGAGGGTGCCTCACGGGTCCTGGGCTCTCCAGCCCACTCACACCGTGATCCTGGAACAGTTTCAGCCCGTGTCCCATCTTTCTCTGCAGAGTGCCCCAGTTTCGGATGATCGACGCTACGGTCATTGTTCTGGGTCGAGCTATGTCCCCACGATTGTCATATGTCGAAACCCTGCCTTAAGCGCCTCTGAGTGTGGCCTTGCTTGGAAGCAGGGTCATGACTGGTGTAATTCGTTAGAACGGAACCACTCAGGAGGAGGGCGGCCCCGGATCCGGTACGACTAGGATTCTTACGAAAAGGGGAAATTTGGAGACGGGTCCTCCCCTAGCTCCTGAACCTCCGTCTCAGACTTCCAGCCTCCAGACTGTGAGACAACACTTCTCTGTGGCACTCGGTTCAGGGTACTTTGTTTCAGCAGCCCTGGGACACTCATCCAGTCATCCTACCTACACGCTGTGTCTGAGGAGGAAGGAATCTTCCAGCTGCCAGTGACCTGAGCTGTTAGCATTTGAGAGGAACCTTGAGGAGGGCTGGGACACCACAGGCCGGGATGGTGCATGGAGAGAGGGCCTGACCCACACCCCGTGCAGCAGGAGGGGGACAGGCAAAGGGACACGTGTTGGCCAGCGGCCTCTTCCCCTTTCAAAGGACCTTCTTGGAGAATGGCCAACAGTTCCAGTTTGCCCGGGACCATGGGGTCTCCCAGGATGCGGGACTCTCGTCGCTACACCCAAGAAAGTCTAGGCGGACTGGAACGCGTCGGTTATCCTGAGCCCTGTGACCTGTGCTGAAGCACATTAAGCGCAGTGACCTTGAGTGGCCGCCCCTGGCCTCAAGGAAGGCTCAGGGCCATCCCAGGCAAAACCGGAGTTGTGCGAGTTAGGAGGAAGTGCAGAACAGGCACGGAGGAGGCTGCTGGTGCTTCTGCCCTTGTAACTCCAGCCTGTGGTCTGGCCCACCCCGCAGCACCACCTGTGAGCATGTGACCGCCGGCAGCACCGGACCAGAGCCACGACTGCCCACAGTGGCTTCCCGGGGGCCATGCGGCCCGATCTCCTCACTCCAACACTGCTTCACTTCTGGCATCCTAGAGAGGAGAGCCCCTTCCCCCCTGGAGCGTTGTAAGTCTTCGATGGCTAGTTCAAGTCTGTAGGGGAGGGGCCGGACAGTCAGGTCCCACCCTCGAGAGTAGCTGCTGTGTGATCGTCGGCCTACAGAGAAACATGGAGGTGTCATAGGAGTCCCCTTTGTTTTTCTGTGCATGGGGTCAAGCATGGCTTTTCCCAAGTGGGAATCAGCAGTTTTCATTCTTAGTTTTGAGAGATGTTCAGGGATCCTGGGGCCTGTACTCTGTTCCTTCCTTTCTTCTTTCCTTTCTTTCTTATGCTATGTTCTGTTTTTTTGGTGCTTTTCTCAGACGTTATCCTTTTATTCTTGGTTTATTCTAGATACCCTTTAGGACTTGCATTTGCTGCTTTTGGCGAGGCAAGAAAACGCTTGCCCGGGAGGATTTCCAACCTGGTGAGTGGATGTGTCCGTGCCCTTCCAACTTTGGTAGCTAGCTGCTCATTCTGGATCCAGGGCACCGATAGACATACAAAGAGGGAAGCAAAATGGTGTCTTACTGATTTAGTCCTTTTCCATTAGCATGAGCTCTGTGAGACTCTCTTAGCCAGCTTGCCTTTCCCTCTGATGCTGTGATCGGGTAAACAGCGGAGGGGAAATACGACCGGTGGATACCAGACACCGGGGGGATGCTGGGCTGTGCGGGTGTCGTGTGCGTTCCGTGGCCTCCCTGCACCGCGTCCACGGCGAAGGTACGTGCAGAACGGGAGGCCAGCATCTCGTCTGCTTTCAGTGACCCCCGATCGGAGTGCGTCTGGCCCAGCCATGCTTTTGATAAATGGCTGGGAGTTGGGCTGGAAGCCTGGGCTTCTGGAATTCCATTTCCTTCTCTAAGCTACGCGTTTCTTCACAGATGTGGGGAGCTGCGTTCGCTGCTTCCTTTCCTCCCACTTCGAAACCAGGACTGTGGTCACGTGCGTTTGGAAGCGGGTGAGAAGCAGGCAGCCACCCCCTGTGGCGCCGCGTCCGTGACGTCCAGTCTCATTTTGTCTCGCTGTGTGTGGCTCCATCTTCTTCCCTGTACAGACCTCGGGGGATTTCTGGTTGCGCTCTACACTTGGGTCTGTGTCTGTTTTATTGAGCTTGGGTTCTGTTGATAACCATAGGTTGAAACATATGAGATTAGTGACCGTTGGCCGGAGGTGACCTTTCTTGAACAGCAGTGGGGTGATTGGGCCTGATGACGAGTAGCACACTGAGATCTGGCTTCCCTGCCAGGCGCTGCAGTGTGCCCTCTACACACAGGACCCCCCCCCATCTACTCCAGAGGTTTACAGGAAGTGGGACACTGAGGCACAGGAGGGAGCGAGTAACTTGCAGGCAGTTTAAGTGTGGGAGCCGCACCTAGAACCTGAGGGGGTTGTCCACGCACCCACCACCCCTGCGAGCCATCCGCTCTCCTAACCGAGGGAGCAGAAGCATATTGTCACCTGTGTGGGTGACAAAGCATTTTGTAGGAAGCGTTATGGGAAAGCTTTTTGCCTATGTATTTTAGAAAATTCCCCTTCACCTAATACATTTCAGCAATTCGCAAGGAGAAGGGGGTACACAGAGCCCAAGCGGGCTCTGACAACACCCTGGTCCGGCAGCTAAACAAGCCGGGGGCCTCAGGTGACCCCTTCACTTCTTTAAACCTTGGTTCACTTGTCTGTGCTGGTGACCACGCTTTCACGGGGTCGTTTAGAGAACAAAATAAGAGGGGCGAGGTGCCTAGCACAGTGCCTGGCATACAGCAAGCACACAATAAATGTTAACGGAAATAAAGTATGATGCAGCGAATCGCCAAAGGAAGAGATCTGCTTTCGGGACTAGTTGGGTTAATTTTTCACCAGCAGCTTCCATGGGCTGTGGCCACACTTCATATCTAGTCTCCGTCCTCCTAGCT